GGGGTGTTGAGTGAAGCTACTGACAGACAAGCAGGGGGTGAGAGAGCCGAGTGGTGACATCAAAAGACAAATGCGGCTAGGTTGGCACCGGGAGAGGCAGAGTGATGTAAAGTGGAACGGACCCCTGGGATGACGTGCTGCAGGTGACTCACCATGAATCGTAGGTCGTCGAAGCCATTGAGCAGGAACTTGCTCTCGTACTGCGGCAGCCCCACGTGCTCCAGCCACTCTCCGACCGGCTGGTCCAGGGCTTTACCACAGGCCCCATCTGCCGAGAGAGGGAAGCGCTTCAGCAGGGAGAAGCCGTTCAGCCGGTAGCAGCGGCACTCAGAGGACGACACATGGCATTGCCACATCATCCTCGGCCAGCAGAGGCAGAGCCGAGTGCAGCAGCACCGGGCGGGGTGGGGGGGAGACAGGGTCCAGGCCGGGGGTGAGGGACTCCCAAGGTACGGGTGGGGGCCCAGCTAACTCAAACACAGGAGGAGGGTAGGAAGTGCTGCGGGCCCAGCTCAAGCCCTGCAGCGGACTGACTAGGCTAATATACACCCACTGGTGTTAGTATGACTGACTGAGAATGTCAGGCGAGGGTGGAGGTAGTGCAGGGAAGGAAGCCCATCTGAAGCTTGGTATAGTTAGTTATGTTGGACTGAGCCACTATGGCATCTTCCAACAAACAGGGTTCACTAAACATTCCTTTAGTGAGCAGATGAGCGAGTGTAAGAACAAGTGGCTAGCTAGTCCAAAGACATAACAGTCCTGAAACACTACAAGTCAACAGACTAAATACATTTCAGGCTGAGGGAAAGTGGGAACATCTATCACTAAATCACACATTTTCATACATCACACATTATTTACCATGCTAAAACTATCCCCGTCATTTTGTACTATCAGAAATTACTCCATCAGGGTTTAACACAGAAATATTCAGTTCCCCCACAATAAATTTGTCACTGTTTTCAACACATACTTGTAAAGCTCTGGCTGAGTCCCATGGCTTCATTGGTCAATCTCTTTGAGAGCTAGGACACGGCTCATATAATGAAGGTAGCAGCATTCTAAAGTACTGTTGAGGTACTCTTGTTATAATAATTTTTTTCTTTTCTTTTTATCAAGGAATACACATTTGCTTAAATCATTTTTCGCCTTTACTCCAGAGCCACAAGGAGTATGGTCAGGTAGACATATTGTAAATCCTACATAAAAAAAAAAAAACACGTTGGTTTAGGATTTCCAGTGTGCTGACTCCAAACTCCTCAATTCATAATAAAATCCAAATATAGATTCCTTGATAAAGCTCCTGGTAATGGAAAAAGGCTCGGTGTCCTTGGTGGTGCCGGTGCTGCCCAGCATTCACACTCCTCAGCAGGCTGCTGGCTGTGCGGCTCCGCCAGAGAACGGGCTTCTCATCTCTCAAAGCAGTAAATCCAGGTTCGATCCGACAGACGGCAGGTGAGAGACTCTTGACTCTGAAGCCAGGATCACTTAAGCTATATAGCTCCTTCCTGAGGCAGGCGCCCAACCAACCACCCCCCACGCTCCCACCCCAGCCCACCTGGTTCTTCTCCTCGCTGGGTACAGCTCGCAGCCTCTGTGCTCAGGGCAGAGGTTTGCTGCATCCCCTGCCTGTCTGAGACATGCAGGCGGCGCAGATGCAGTCAGAGCAGCTGCTCCCGGCTCACACACGCTACCCCCTCACTGCTCACAGGGCATAACGTCCTGACGCCCGGCTACTTCTGCACAGGGGACCAAAGAAACTGCCTCAGCCTCAGCCACTGCTGCCACGTCCTTCCCACATCCACGACAGGCAAGAGACTCAGATCATCTCCCCTTCTCATCCGACCAAATCCCTCAAGCGCTTCTTTTTAACTCCCCCCCCCCCCCTCCTCGCTCTCGTCTCTCTCTGCTTTCTTTCCCTCGCTCCCGATCTCACAGCCCCATTCCCATACTGTGTGATCACACTGCAGGGCTGCCGTATGCTGCCTGATGAAGTGGGGTGCTGCTCCACGTAACAGCCTCTCTCTCTCTCCCTTGCTCTCCCACTATATCAATTCCCCTCCCTCTCTCCCTCTCTCTCTTTCTCTCCCTCACTCCATCTCGCTCCCTGCCTCTTGTCCTCAAACACACAGAAGCAAACACACACTCTATTTATCTCTCTGTGTTGTCTGTCTCTCTCCCCCTCTCCCCTTCTATCTTGCTCCCGTTTCTTTCACATACAAATGCACACACACTAGCTCTTCTCCGTCTGTCTCTCTCTAACCTTATCCTACCTCCCCCCCCCCCCCCCCC